TGGAGAGACAACTATCTTCTGTAGTTGAAAAAACCCACTCCTGCAGTTCCTCCTAGAGTATAGACTACCCTATAGTGCTCCTTCTGATGTCGACATTTCGGCTAAGTCAGCATCTACATAGCCTGTCATATCATATCTCCACCTTTGAAACAAAGTGCTTTGTTTTGGTACCCCGAAGATATCTGAGGATCCATTTGACTGCTTCCCAGTATACCTTGCCGGATTATTCATGTACCTGCTAACAGCTCCCACTGCATGAGCAATATGGTCTGGTACAAACATGGCATACATCAGACTTCCAATTGCTGAGGCATACGACACCTTCACCATGTGTGCACGTTCTTCCTCCGCCTTTGGTGATTGGTCTTTGGAGAGTCTGAAATGAACACCTAAAGGTGTACTTACTGGTTTAGCATCTTGCATGTTGAACCTGGAGAGTACTTTGTTGATGTACTCAGCCTGTGATAACATCAAAGTCCCCGACTTTGTGTCTCTTGATCCTCATCCCAAGAATCTGCTTTGCAGCGCCCAGATCCTTCATAGCAAACTGCTTCGACAATTTTTGCTTCAAGTTTATGATCTCTTGCATGTTTGAGCCTGCAACGAGCATGTCATCAACGTACAACAATAAAATAATAAAACTATTATCGAACATCTTGATGTAGCAACAATGATCTGCTTGGCATCTGGTAAAACCACTGCTACTCATGAAACTATCGAACTTCTTGTACCACTGTCTAGGAGCTTATTTTAAACCATACAAGCTCTTCTTCAACCTGCATACCAGGTTTTTCTTGCCTGCCTCTATGAAGCCTTCTGGCTGCCTCATATAGATCTCTTCCTCCAAATCACCATGAAGGAAAGCTGTCTTTACATCTAACTGCTCAAGATGTAAATTCTCCGCAGCTACAGTTTTCAACACCAGTCTGATTGTAGACAGTTTTACGACTGGAGAGAAAATTTCATTGTAGTCAATACCTTCTTTTTGCTGAAAACCTTTGACAACCAATCTTGCTTTGTAGCGTTTTCTCCCATCATGTTCTTCTTTGATCCTGTAAATCCACTTGTTATGGAGCGCTTTCTTGCCTGGTGGTAATTCAGCTAATTCCCACATCTGATTTGACATAAGCGAGTCCATCTCATCTTTCATGGAAGACTCCTACTTGACTGAATCCTCCACCTGCATTGCTTCATCATAACACTCTGGTTCACCATTCAGTCAGCAACAAACAAAGAAGGCGAATACCGTTGGGTTGGTTTAGGAATTCTGGAGGAGCGTCTCAGTTCTGGTGTGTGTGGTTCTTCTTGAACTGCTTCAGGATTGATCTGAACATCATTTCCAGAAATCTCCTCGAACTCAGCAAATTCCTTTGTTTCAGCTTCGGTATTACTTGATTCTGCGGTTGACCTATCTTTGTACATCACATTTCATTGAAAATGACGTCTCTGCTTCTGATGATCTTCGATTTTCGTAGTCCCAAAACCGATAACCGAATCATCACCACCGTAACCAACAAAGACGCATTTGTTGGACTTGGCATCAAGTTACTTCTTTCAGCAGAGTTTATGTGTACATAAGCAGTGTGAAGCTTGCAGCCCATAGATCCAATTCAGCCCATAGAAATTTGGGCATCCGGCATGTATCCTCATGCTTCTGGCACGTTCATTCAGAGTTCTGTTCATGCACTCTGCTACGCCATTCTACTGCGGTGTTATGGGAACTGTTGTCTCCATCTTGATCCCATTGTTTGCGCAGAAATCTCTGAAACTACTGTCTCTGTACTCTCCTCCATTGTCAGACCTCAACCGCTTGACTTTCAAACCAGTCTCATTTTCCACCATGGCCTTCCATTTTCTGAAGGTATCAAAGACTTCTGATTTCTTCTTCAGAAAATAAACCCATACCTTCCTTGTTGAATCATCGATGAAGGTGACATAATATAGTGAGTCTGCAAGAGATGGAACAGGGGATGGTCCCCATACATGAGTATGAACCAATTCTAACCTTTCTGCCTTGGGAGTCTTGCCAATCTTTGTAAAACTGACTTTCTTTTTTTCCAAAGATGCAATCCTCGCATAGTCCGACATCTACATTCTTTAGATCCGGCAGCTTCCCTTTTGACAGAAGTATCTTCATTCCTTTCTCGCTCATATGGTCGAGCCTTTGGTGTCATAGGTTTGATTTTCCATCAGCATCTGCTACTGCAATGATATTCTCTAAATTTGAGGTTACATAGAGAGTACCGGTCTTCTTACCATGAGCAATGACGAGTGCTCCTTTGGTGATCTTCCATTCACAGCCTGAAAAAGTTGTACTATATCCTTCTCCATCAAGTTGTCCAACAGAAATCAGATTTCTTTTGAGGCCAGGAATATGTCTCACTCCTGTCAGCTTCCAGGTGGTCTGGTTTGGCAGCTTTAGTCGGATGTCTCCTTTTCCGACGATCTTCAAGGTTTCATCATCAGCAAGATGAACCTTCCCAAAATCACCACTGACATAGTTCTCCATGATTTCTCGGCATGGGGTGGAGTGGAAAGATGCCCCTGAATCCAAGATCCATGATTCAATCGGACTGTTGACGCTTAAAATCATGGCATCACCTGTCTCCTCCGTCATGTTGGCAGATTCCTGTGCGCCGGTATTTTTATTCGGTGCTCGACAATCTCTTTTGAAGTGACCCTTCTTGCCGCAATTATAACAAGTAAAATCTTTATTTCCTGTTCTTGATTTGCCCCTTCTGGATTTTGATCTGCCACGATTTGAATTTCTTTCTGAAGTTCTCCCTCTAGACTCCGTGTGCAAGGCTGAGGAGGTTGATGCTTCACCCGATTCTTTTCGTCGAATTTCTTCACTCAATACCAGATCCCGAACATCGTCAAATTTTAATTTGTTGTTTCCCGACGAACTGCTGACTGTTGTAACAGTAGCATTCCAACTGTCTGGTAGAGATGATAAGAGAATTAAAGCTCGAACTTCATCATCGAACTCAATTTCCACTGAACTCAACTGGGTTGTGATTGTGTTGAGTTCATTTAGGTGTTGTGCCACCGATGCCCCTTCCGCCATCCGCAAATTGAATAATCGTCTCATCAAATGAACTTTGTTTGAGGCCGATGGCTTCTCGTACATACTGGAGAGAGCCGCCATAAGACCCGCCGTGGTCTTTTCCTTTGCTATGTTAAAAGCAACATTGCGGGATAACGTCAGTCGGATAACTCCGAGGGCTTGTCTGTCGAGAAGAGCCCAATCTTCATCCTTCATGCCCTCTGGTTGCTTTCCTGAGAGAGGTTGATATAGATTTTTCTGGTACAAAAAATCTTCAATCTGCATCTTCCAAAAGCCAAAGTCCGCACCATCGAACTTTTCAATTTTCACCTTCCCTTCGTCTGCAGCCATCGCTCCCACTCGAATTTGGCTTCGTTTGGATCGTTTCTGACAATTCTTGCGAATCACCGTGTATTAGAACACCACCGTCGACAAACTCGTATCGTCGACCGAATTTCACTATTCACGAAATTCACTATTCACATGAATAGTGATGAATAGTAATCTCGCAGAAAATTTGATAAAATTCACAACTAAAAGCTCTGATACCAGTTGTTAGGAAAATAAACCGAGTACAAGTAATTTCCCTATAACCAGATTAGTGAGAATGCGAAATAAAAGCGGAAAAATAATACCCGAAAATTGATAACGGAGTTCAGCCAATTGTGCTTACGTCTCCGGGCTGCTGCAGATCTTTTACTAAGAGAGAAAATTTACAGGTGTTTACAAAACACTCACTACTCACAAGAAAGCTCTCTAGTATAGGAAGAAAGAAATGTTTTGGGATGATTTTGAAGCTAAATGGGTAAGGGTATTTATAGTAGAAACTTAGGGACTAATCTTTGAAAATACCCTAAAGTGCAATGACTAAAGTGAATTTACCCATTCATAGTTTCAACAAACATCTACAAAAATTTTACCAAACTTTGAAAAACATTTTTCAAAGAAATATTTACCAAACTTTAAAAAAATATTTTCCAAAGTTAGTTGCCAAACTTTGAAACTTTTAACATGGACTTGGTCTGATTCTGAAATATCTAGCTTTTATGGCTGCTGTTTACTTGATGAAACGGGATTTGGAACATTTTTAAGTTGCACCTTTGCTTTGATGGCTGTTTAGCAGCTTCTTGCTATTTTGTAAGTAATTATTTGTTGCTTTGATGAATTTATTTTTTAAGATTTTATAAATATATTTACTATAATTCGGATTACTGATTTCAAAAATATTTTTCACTCCATCTATTATTATCTATAATTATTGTTGAATAATTTTTTAAATGTTTTTATCCAAATTAGGGTAATTTTCTTGAGAAGGTGTTTATCTAATTAAAAATTGAAAAGTCAAATTAACCCTTACATCAACTACTCTTTCAATTTTTTTAACCAATAACGGTGATGGAATATTTCAAAATTGATAAATGATGAATACACACGAATATCACTATGAACGATTAATGATATTAACACTAATATAAAGATAAATATATCAATGATAGTTTGTTAAATCTAGTTTTTATAACAATCAAAGGTATGGAATATGAACTATTTTTTTATTAAACTAAGATGATTACAAAGTATTATCTGTTCTAAATACTTTCAACCATTTGATAATGATCGTTCAATAATCCTACTATTGTCGTTGATGCTTGAACCCGCGACCTCTAAGAACAATAAAGATTCTTTTAATCACTGAAATAAGTTAGTTCGTGCGAGTATGGACTATTTAATTGTATGGAATATGGGCTATTTGTTTATATAAATGAACGATATCAACCCTACCATAAAAATACCGTAAATGCTCTTGATCGTGGAAGGATTATTGAGTTCTTGCTTGACTCGGCCCCTATTTGATGTCGAGCCATCGTCAGATGAACACAGGGTGGACCGAGTGTTGGCATGGAAAGGATCAGGGTTTAATATTTGGGTTGGGTATGATAAAAATATATAGACTTAATTAAGAATACTTCTGTTAATAATAGTATTGACATCAAATCCCATGCTGCATGGTTTAACAACAGTACAGTGAATGGAAACATAATATGCAGACTCACTGTTAATTTTTGCACAAATTTGAAGCAAGCAATACTACTATGAATTGAAGCCATTATCGACTACAGAGGAAACCAACGAGGTCAAACAAATGCTTACAAGACGGGGATAGAGATTAAAGGCCATTCTTTTTAACTGGAGGCCAAGACAATCTCCTGTGGCTGGAAACATCTGCCGGATCAAAGTCCCCCACCTCGCTATTTTCGTTGTCTGCTTCTTGGCATTCAGTTTCTTGGCTTCTTAGGCTTTTGATAGCCAAGTCATCAAAACTTGTTTCGTTCTTCCAAGCGGGCGGAGTCGAGGGATCCTTGGCCGGTGTTGTTGACAACGGGGTTGCAGAGTTACCCACTCTCAAATTTTGAAGCGTTGCAAACGACTCTCTTGTTGCTGACATGGCCTCGAAGAATCGGGTGCAGGAGGCTAAAGCAACAGGAATTGGACGGAGCATCTCCTGAGTGAGGAAAAGAAGAGTATCAGATAAGACATGCAAGATGTCATAAGTGCATATGTACATAAATCAAAATGTATAGGTAAGCCTACCCCCCAAACTGAAGGAGGCTCCTTAAAGTTCTGGCTCCATTGGAAATCAGTAACAGCCGCTGTCAATGCACCATAATCACTTGCAGCTTTCATTAGTAGTTCAGAAAATTGTTTCTGCAGATATCCAAGTAAAATGGCCATTAGGAATGAAATTAAATCTTTTGTTTTTTACCACAAATGGAACTGAAACAACCAGCAACCAATGAAGGTTATAAGCATAAATCTATAGTTCTTGTTTTCGGTTTATTTTCTTTTATGGAAGAATATGCAAGTACTACAAAGTGCATCAATTGTTCTGACATGGCATTATTTTTAACCTTTTATATTTAGGTTTGCAATTTTCAATTTCATACTCCAAAAAATTACATCGAGTATTATTTATTTTTATATCTTGTCCTCTTCTATCTTTCAGCAAACTAATAACCTAAAACTTTATTATTTTCCATTCTGATTCTATTAGGGTTCTTACCCAATTACTTGGTGCATATCCAAAATAACTATAACAGTTAGTCTAACTCTCTTCTGGTCTTTCATAAACACACATAAAATCACACAAGAGACCATATTTATCAGATGTAATTGTAATGTCATGAAATCTTAAGGATCAACATGTCCAATTTAATGATTAAGTTTCCATGTAAAATTGCATAAAATCTGAAAATTTGGAACTGAATGTGGAATATGTTGATTTACTAGTGCAATGCAACAAACCATGTAAATACAAATTGTGGACAGGAGGGAACAAAAGATAGTTCGAAAGATTGACGATCATTCAACCATTGCATGTAAATACATTCTATAACCTTCAAGTACTTGGTCCAGTCATGTTTGGAAGTTCAAGAAATTCAAAGTTTTTCAGGTGAACATCATCAGATATGAATATTCTGGTTCATGAAAACAAACCTAGAAGGCATGATGAAAGTAGCAATCGTGTCCAAATTGAATAGCTCAGAATCTAAAAACATGAGAGCAAAGAGGTTCTATGTGTATGCAATCATCCCAAGGTCAAGGGAAAACAAGAACCAAAAATCTCTTCTTTCTTTCTTTATTTGTGTGTGTTTGCTTATGTTAAATTAGACCGAAGAGAAAACCTGATATTCTGCTTCCACTGGAATGCAATCCAGGGAATATGGTTGTTGCAGACGAGCTATAATTCGATCCTGCCAAAATAATGAAGAGGGGAAACATAGTCAGAAAAATAAATAGTCATCTTGGTCGTGTGATCTGAAAAGAGTAACATGTAAGGGAAATTAATATTTCTTGTAGGAACCATCATAAGGTGTGCACAATAAGAAAACCTGAAATTACCTTATTTTGAATAACATCTTTCAATATAGTAGTAATCCTCGCCAGTGTTTCACACTTCTTTTCCATTTCACTCACATGTGTAAGGTGTGCAACATTTTTATCATCCTATGAATACCATAAAAGGGACAGTTAAAACAAATAGCAGACATGCGGGTAAAAACTTGCGCTGTACTCAAATCGGCCATATTAAGTTAACAAACATACATTGTTTCAACAGAATGCTCAAAATTTTTATATAATTTTTTTTAAATATATACTAAAAATGGAGTAAAATTTAAATAAACATATTATGCTACTGAGATGTTAGTTTGTTTTTTATTTATTTATTTCTGTTTTAAACAAACAAATCAGTAACTGAACTTCTCTTTTGTTTCATTTTTAATAATAAATCCAACCCTCTTAAATACTGAGTTTAATTTCTCCTGGTCAACTATAAATCTGCAATACTATTCGAAAGTCCCAAACAATAAACCTTACAAGAAGTACGAAAGCGATGTGGTAAATAAACCAGGAAGCTTACCTTTCGGCCTTGGAGTTCAACTTGCAAATCTGCTATTTTTCTCTGTGCAGTGGTTAGCTCTCTTAATACCTTTATTAAGTCATCACCCTTTTCTCCAGTAGCAGATGATAAGTTTTGCACGTCTTCCTATAGAAGAAAAACAACGTTATCTTTGATGCAATTTCAACATATCCATCCATCAATTTTCTAGCTCTACCCATAAACTTGTAGATTCAACGTGTATAACTGATCGTCATACATCAGAGTAAAGAAAAATGCCAATAAAAAAATTTACAATTATAAGCAAAAGGAACAAATGAATTTGGGAAACCTATTCAACGTATCTATATATTCAAACAAATTTGTACACTAATGGTTCCATAGATAACAATGTACAAACCATTTATTCAACACAATTAAAGAATAAAATACTCGAGATATAGGTTCGAGACAATATATCTGAGCTTCAATTGATTTGTCGTGTTAGTTGACTACCAAAACCACTACGTCTTAAACGGTTAAATGAAAATCTGAGGCTTCAGCTGGTGCTCGGGAAACCTAAATTTACAATTCCAGCAAAGAGATCATATGGTTTTGAAGGTTAAATTCTTCTTAATTGGCCATTAAAAGAAGGAAGAGGGAATAATGCTAAACTATTTCAGCATAAGCATCAAAACCCAAATTCATCCCACAAACTGCAGCAAGGAACGATGATATATCATTCAATTGCTTAGCATAAAAGATCAGGATAACAGAGCATGAACATTCACAAGAAACTACTGTCGTTTGAGAGTTTCAGATTTGCAGAATTCGAGTGTCTGAACTTATAATATCCGTTAACAAAAATCAACCAAACAGAAAGGATATTATAGACGCAAAGCAAATGGAAATGACTGAAAGAAAATAGGATAACCTGAGAAGGAGGAGGGGGCACAGAGAAACCAAGATCGGCGGCAATCGATAGAGCATCGGACATTCCTCCGATGCGCCTCAATGGCTTCTTTCCGACCCATGTCGTATCGGTCGACATTTCACGCCCAAACGCTCCCTTTTATTGTCTCTCGCAAGATCTGAAAGTACTTCCAAAGTACTATAACAAGAAGCCAAAGTTGGTAATTTGAACGGACGGCTAGTCCCCAGATTTGCCAGGCCGGCCTCTGTCTAAGTGTCTATACTTCACTGTTTTTTCAACTTTCACCTTATTTGAATTTAAATTAACTCCTTTAGAATTAAAGAATATAATTATTAAGTATAATAAAAACAAAATGTTAGATCTTAAAGGATTTGATTTTTAGTGTTCGGATGTAATTTGATTTGAATTTAATGAATTTCGATCCAATTTAATTTAATCTAATTAATATTTTTTTTAAATATCAAATTTAGATTAGATTTTATAAGAGGTGAAACCGAATTAGATCAAATTCAAGTTTAATATAAAAAAATTTCGACTGAGGTATTAATATAATTTTTTATATATTTAAGAATAATTACTATAATATTCATTCACATTTAATATTTTTTTAAGTAGGTTATTAGTTTAATGAATAAAATTATTTTTTATATTTATATCAGATCAAATCAGTACGAATTTTTTGTTTAAAATTTAGGTTAAATTTTAAGTCAAATAAAATATATTTAAACTTAGACTAAATGAAATTCAAATAGAATAACATACTGATTAAATCAATTTAAGAAGCTTTTTTGTACTTTTAAACATTGGAAAACATTGTCGTAGAGGCTGTAATGTATCACCTGCCGCAAGCATTTTGGGCCTATAAGCTCCCTTCGGCTTTGTTTCCAATCAACAACCTAAGCCCAAGTTAACAAACTTAGCCCCTGAATTCCTTATCTCCTCAAAATCCAGTTTAGAGATTTAGGGTTTCAACTCCGCTGCACTCTATAAAATCCTACCCAAATCGAAACATGTAACACGAATGCTCATCTGCGGAGGGCGGTGCGCTTTGCTTCTCTTTCTTTTCCCTGTTTATGATCTTAAATATCTTTTGAAAATCTAGAAGAAAAGTGTTCTGAATTCGAAGCCCAATGAGGAAGAATTCCCATAGATAGGAAGTGCCGTATGACATTTTAATCAGCAGCGACAACTCGCTAAGGAATGTCTCCGTCTTCCCATCCGCCAATCCTCGGCCCCTCTGATTCTTGTTCTTAGGTGCTTTGTGTTTGGCCGGGAAATCCGGGTCTTCCTCTTGGCTTGTTATCCTGTGTGAGAGATTTGAAACGGGTCTCTGAGGGTTTATCCTTGGTTTTTTCTATCAATCATTTTCTTATTTTTTATTTTGCTCTTGTTAGAGTGTTTGATCCGATGCCACGTCGCCGGTAGCCAAGAGCTCTGACCGGCGATGCTATGATTGGACCAAGATAAATTCCATGTTTCGCTTGCTGATAGGAACCTGTGGATCTGATTCACTGTGATCTACGGAGCCTTTTCCGGCGATTACACTCTCTTTATTATATTAAGAAATGGATTTATCGAAGCCAGTGAGGATTTGTTTTTATAGTTGGAATTACCGACTGAGTTTTCATTTATTTTGATGTCAATTTTACTGGCTGTCTGAGGCTTCATATGATTTGCTTGATATTTCCCTTTTTTTTTTTTTTAAATAAATTGAAGATAAAAAGTTCCAGCATGACGATTCTGTCTCCCAAGAATGTGAGCTAGAACTTATAAAACCCAACAATGAGAAATATCTCTGTAGGCTCTTAAAACTATTTTTTCCCCGGATTGAGTTGCCACAAATATTGGCTCAATTCTTACAAATGCAGTCTCGAGCAAATGAATTGACTTAGCTTCTATCAGGGAAAAAACGCTAATTAAATCAACGAAAACTTAGATTTTAATCAAACAAATTGTGAGAAAAAGAACTCCGTCTCTTTCCCCTGAACATAAAGATTAGCACTCAATATGTTTGTGATTACCAATAAAAATATATATACTCTAAAATGATACTCTTAATACAGTATCGATACAGTAAGAATAATATCGGTATTATGTATTAAGAAAATTATTTTGTGCTCAAATTTTATTTTAATGAACTTTTAATTATTTTTGAAATTTTTTGAAAATTTTGAATAAATTCAATTTAAGTCTAAAAATATTTTGTCTTAATTTGTTATATCAAAATATTATAAAATATGGTTTAACGTAGTTCTAGGGAAGACATTCATCTGTAGTTTCTTTGACCTTAATATGGAGATGTCTTTGATACAACAATCTGTTCAGTACGCACTTGATATTATGCCTTTAAGTTCTATGGGAGGCATTTAATTGCGAGATGCTTTGATCTCAATGTGGAGATGTCTGCGACACAAAACTCAGTTCAAAACTCGTATGTCACGATCTCTTCAAGTTTAAGTGGAAGGCATTCAACTATTAGCTTGTTTAATCTAAATATTGGTATCACAGAGCAACCCTCATATTTACCAGAAGAACCTCTTCGTGATCAAGTTGCGGATGGTGTTGAGATTGGACTATTCGTTGAACCAAAATCATCGCAATTCAACACGGACTCTAATGATGATGATTTAGATGAAGTTCTCACGATTACGGTACACACTGAACCTCCAGAAAACATGTATGAAGCTGACTATGACACAATGTACGAGCCAGAACATTTATCGACGTTATGCATATTGTCGAGATTCTTAGATGTTTCAGGAATGTGTTATGCGAAACTCAATTGACAGAGCACGCAATCAATAGGGTGCCACTCGACAATAGCACAAAATATCAGAGAGATAACCACCATCCATACATCTAATGAGTCACTCAAGTGAGGTGGGATGCAAAATCTCATTTCTTGAATAGAATAAATAGCTCATTAAAACTAAAACAAATATATATAATTATTATCAAAATAATATTCTAATTATATAATGATAATTTAAAATAAATAATAATATTTAAATACATACCTATGTACCAGCCTTTTGATCAATGAGTAGCTGAATTTCTTCCAATTCATCTGGTATATCACGATGATTTTTCTTTGTACATGACCACCTATTCAATGTAAAAAAAAATTAATTATATATGAACTCAATATTGAATTTACCTTAACAATAACGAGAAGACTAACGGATTATTCACGACCAGACATAAAAATGGCATATAATATCACACACATGATTGGAGAAGAATGAGACATCCGTCGATAACATTTTTTCGATAATTAGTTGCTCGACACATTTCTCTATACAAATATGTCAAAACTATGGAGCCCTAACTAAGTCCGCCGACAATGTGAAAATCTTCGAGGTGACGCAACCACATACAATAAACTTGGTTGCGAGATTTAACAAACACCAAGATCCCTCCTATGAGTTGTAATATGCAAGCCCATACAAATATTTTAGCATGCTCCTCGGAACAATATTCACTTAAATGTTGAAAATTTCTAGCCAACCATTATAACGGTATTCGACCAACGTTGAAATTAGGCGGGATACCTCCAAGATACTCCTTACACAAAGAATGTCAATTAACATCTGACACACCATAAATAACATCTCTATATATCGAAAGCCCCAAATATATGAAAACATCCTCTAGCGTAATAGTATACTCCTACATTGAAGATGAAATGCGTGTGTCTATGATCTCCACATCTCAATCAATATAGAAATAAGGTTGGATTCAAGGTTACAGTGTCCTTCATATTTCGCTATGTAACTGAATCCAACCTCAACTAAATACGGCCAGACTTGGTATCTCTAACTTAGCGTTACGAATAAATGGATCTAATATGCGGCTATTCCCCTAATTAAATAAATAATATTCAAATTAAAATATAAACTAATACTAAAAAAATTCACAATAATTAAAATAACACAATTTAAAATTATTATCATATCGGTAAAATGACTCGAGATATAATTCTCATATAAACACAGCAACCCACATTTGCTTTTATAATTGAAAAAAGTAATAAGAAAATTAGTAAATTAAATAATAATAAACTATTAAATGATTATAATATAATAAAAAATTATAACTTCTAAAATCGATAGCAAAACTTACTTAAAGCTTGCTACAAGAATTGATAAAGAAGAGAATAAAATCTTTTGGGTGTGGTTTAAGTGTTGTATGGGAGGGAATTTATAGGAGGAGATGGGGACGGGCGGTTGGACAATATTAAAGGGGTAAGTGGTAATTTAATGTGTCAAATTTCTTAAAAAGGCACGAATTATAATTTGTACAACATTCGAGAAAAGCGCGTTTCATGATCCGCGCCTTCTGCCTACATTTGTAAGGTGCATATCTTGAGATGCACTTTATTATCACTATGTCAGAAAGGGTAGGGGTGAGCATTCGACGGAGTCGAGTCAAATTTTTTTTTAAGTTATTCAAGTTGACGAATCTTATTTTACAACTCGGAATTGACTTGAAATTTTTTCGAGTCGAGTTAAATTTTCGAGTTTGTGTTCAAATTTAATTATCAATATTTATAATGTTATGATATTATTTGATTTCAATTTAAATGATTTTTTATGATCATATATATATATATATATATATACACACATAACTATATATTCTTGTGTGATTTTTGATAAAATAATATAATACATGTATATTTATTTCATATATGATATACATATATCATACAGAATTAAGGGACTCGAATCAAATTTAAAAATTCATCCACAACTTATTAAAAAATTTGAGTTATTCAAGTTATTTGAATTGTATTTTACTATTCAATTTGAATTTAATTTTTTTTCGAGTCGAGTTTATGAAATTACAACTGAAAGTCATTTCGATTTAAATTTTATTAATCAAGTTGAGTCGAAAAAATCAGTTTTCCAATCGAATTTTGTTCACCTCTGAAAAAGAGGGTTAAGATCAGTAATATTTGGATAAACAGTGTTTGCTATATAATTATTGATTGTTTTGGCTAAAAAGACCTTAAAAATGATCATTAAACGGTAAACATGCTTGAGCGTGCGTGAGCATGGTGTTGCTGACATATCCTTTTGTTCATTTCCCAATGTCACAACAAAAACAGAAGTAATTACTAGTTTGTCTATTTTCCCCGACCTCATCTGGATCTTCTCTTTCCACAGTCCTTGCTATCTCCCAGTTGTTAGGGTTTGTTTCTTTGTCTCCCTTCCCCCCTCGCTTGATTCCTTCACTTTCATCCCTTCAATTCTCCCTTTATTACACCGTTTCAAACAAAATTAGCCTCCAAAAATCTCATCTTCCTCACATTTCCATTAGAATTCATTGTTCACAAAAAAAAGGAACCCTTTTCATGGCCAAGACCAAACCTGGCAAGAAGGACCTTGATTCCTACACTATCAAAGGCACCAACAAAGTTGTTCGTCGTATGTTTCTCGCTAAACCTATCTCTTTGCTTTCCTTCTACATTTCAAAGAGAACCCAAATTTCGTATGCTTGGAAAGTCTTTAAATTTCAAACCCACAAATGTTTTTGGCTTTTGATATTTGTTTTGTTTTGCAGCTGGTGATTTTGTGCTGATGAGACCATCGGACTCCGATAAGCCACCGTATGTGGCACGTGTGGAGAAGATTGAGGCTGATCATCGGAACAATGTGAAAGTTCGAGTTCGATGGTACTATAGGCCGGAGGAGTCTATGGGAGGGAGAAGACAGTTCCATGGAGCCAAGGAGCTCTTTTTATCGGACCATTATGATGTGCAAAGTGCACACACCATTGAAGGAAAGTGTGTGGTCCACACTTTCAAAAACTATTCAAAGCTTGAGAATGTTGGTGCCGAAGATTACTTTTGTAGGTTCGAATATAAGGTCGCCACTGGCGGCTTCACTCCCGACCGGGTGGCAGTGTGAGTTTTAATTTTTCTTGTGTTATTGGGTTGAGTTTAGGGTGTTTTTTCCCAGTGTTTTGTATCTTTTTAGAGTTCGTTCATCAATTCTCCTTGGTTTATGTTTTGAAGGTATTGCAAGTGTGAGATGCCATATAACCCGGATGACCTCATGGTGCAATGCGAGGGATGCAAGGATTGGTAAACTCGTTACTCATGTTTGTGTGTGTAGAACTGTAGATTGAATCCATTTTTTAGTGGTTTTTGTAATGATTTATCAGCTGATTAAAGTTTCAAATTAATGTTGTATTTAGTTTTTTAGTTAACAAGCTTGGTTTTTTAGTACCTTTTTTTCCTTCAATATTTGATAGTTTGATCCATGGAAAATATTTTTAGTTACTTGTTCAATTATGCACTTAACATTCGTTGATTAATGCTTTTGCCACTGGCCA